GGCTGGCACAAGAATGAGCTTTGCCGAGTCTCAAGAAAGTACAACTGCATGACACTAATTGCCTTGAATTTCTGTCTCATTAGCACCACCGCCATGTAGCTCTCCTGTGGATGTGGCATTTATCATCGATTCTTCGGGCAGCATTGGCAAAAGAAACTACCTGAAACAGAAGAACTTTGTCAAGGAAGTAGCGAAGAGTTTCGGCCTAGCACCAGACCAGAGTCAAGCAGCCATGGTTCTGTACAGTAACTCAGCTTCAGTACAGGCTCGATTCGGCCAGTATGCGACCACGGAGGAGTTCGCCAAAGCTGTGGATGCTCTACCTTACGAGAGAGGCCAGACACGAATCGACAGAGCGCTGGATTTAGCAGCCACTGACATCTTCCCACAAGCCAGAGCGGGCGTGCCTAAGCTTGCCCTGCTGATAACTGACGGTACCCAGACCCCAGCAGCCGACGCCAAAGGCTTGAGAGAGGCCTCCGAGCCCTTGCGCAAGGCAGGCGTTCGTGTTCTAGCCGTGGGTATTGGCAGTGGTGTCGACCGAGATGAACTAAGATTGGTAACGGAGACTGACGACGACGTTGTGGTGGCCACTGACTTTCAAGACCTGCTGCTGAAAATGGCCAACCTGACCAGCAGGGCCTGCGAACTGGCTGGTGAGTGTGGTCAAAGTTAGAGGTCGCTTTGTGGCCTGACTTTGGCTTTTGCAAAACAGCTCTAGCTAGATAGGAATACTGAGATTTCCTGCTTGCATGCTAGCCCGCCAAGTTAATGCCCGCCCCAAACTAGTGTCCAGCCATTCAAAAGGCGCCTGTCGTCGCCTTCTGCGACTTGACTGAGTGCGAGAGAAGCGCTCATGCCATGATTTAAGGCCGCAGCTCGTGTTCTTTGTTTTTCCAGCTGTCAGTAAATCTGTCTGGCCTTTGGGCGCGTTAGCTAGCTTGTCTGGCTTCCAAGGAGGCGCCCATCAAAACAAGGTCTTGACCTCTCGACAGAAGGGCTGGCACAAGAATGAGCTTTGCCGAGTCTCAAGAAAGTACAACTGCATGACACTAATTGCCTTGAATTTCTGTCTCATTAGCACCACCGCCATGTAGCTCTCCTGTGGATGTGGCATTTATCATCGATTCTTCGGGCAGCATTGGCAAAAGAAACTACCTGAAACAGAAGAACTTTGTCAAGGAAGTAGCGAAGAGTTTCGGCCTAGCACCAGACCAGAGTCAAGCAGCCATGGTTCTGTACAGTAACTCAGCTTCAGTACAGGCTCGATTCGGCCAGTATGCGACCACGGAGGAGTTCGCCAAAGCTGTGGATGCTCTACCTTACGAGAGAGGCCAGACACGAATCGACAGAGCGCTGGATTTAGCAGCCACTGACATCTTCCCACAAGCCAGAGCGGGCGTGCCTAAGCTTGCCCTGCTGATAACTGACGGTACCCAGACCCCAGCAGCCGACGCCAAAGGCTTGAGAGAGGCCTCCGAGCCCTTGCGCAAGGCAGGCGTTCGTGTTCTAGCCGTGGGTATTGGCAGTGGTGTCGACCGAGATGAACTAAGATTGGTAACGGAGACTGACGACGACGTTGTGGTGGCCACTGACTTTCAAGACCTGCTGCTGAAAATGGCCAACCTGACCAGCAGGGCCTGCGAACTGGCTGGTGAGTGTGGTCAAAGTTAGAGGTCGCTTTGTGGCCTGACTTTGGCTTTTGCAAAACAGCTCTAGCTAGATAGGAATACTGAGATTTCCTGCTTGCATGCTAGCCCGCCCAGTTAATGTCCGCCCCAAACTAGTGTCCAGCCATTCAAAAGGCGCCTGTCGTCGCCTTCTGCGACTTGACTGAGTGCGAGAGAAGCGCTCATGCCATGATTTAAGGCCGCAGCTCGTGTTCTTTGTTTTTCCAGCTGTCAGTAAATCTGTCTGGCCTTTGGGCGCGTTAGCTAGCTTGTCTGGCTTCCAAGGAGGCGCCCATCAAAACAAGGTCTTGACCTCTCGACAGAAGGGCTGGCACAAGAATGAGCTTTGCCGAGTCTCAAGAAAGTACAACTGCATGACACTAATTGCCTTGAATTTCTGTCTCATTAGCACCACCGCCATGTAGCTCTCCTGTGGATGTGGCATTTATCATCGATTCTTCGGGCAGCATTGGCAAAAGAAACTACCTGAAACAGAAGAACTTTGTCAAGGAAGTAGCGAAGAGTTTCGGCCTAGCACCAGACCAGAGTCAAGCAGCCATGGTTCTGTACAGTAACTCAGCTTCAGTACAGGCTCGATTCGGCCAGTATGCGACCACGGAGGAGTTCGCCAAAGCTGTGGATGCTCTACCTTACGAGAGAGGCCAGACACGAATCGACAGAGCGCTGGATTTAGCAGCCACTGACATCTTCCCACAAGCCAGAGCGGGCGTGCCTAAGCTTGCCCTGCTGATAACTGACGGTACCCAGACCCCAGCAGCCGACGCCAAAGGCTTGAGAGAGGCCTCCGAGCCCTTGCGCAAGGCAGGCGTTCGTGTTCTAGCCGTGGGTATTGGCAGTGGTGTCGACCGAGATGAACTAAGATTGGTAACGGAGACTGACGACGACGTTGTGGTGGCCACTGACTTTCAAGACCTGCTGCTGAAAATGGCCAACCTGACCAGCAGGGCCTGCGAACTGGCTGGTGAGTGTGGTCAAAGTTAGAGGTCGCTTTGTGGCCTGACTTTGGCTTTTGCAAAACAGCTCTAGCTAGATAGGAATACTGAGATTTCCTGCTTGCATGCTAGCCCGCCCAGTTAATGTCCGCCCCAAACTAGTGTCCAGCCATTCAAAAGGCGCCTGTCGTCGCCTTCTGCGACTTGACTGAGTGCGAGAGAAGCGCTCATGCCATGATTTAAGGCCGCAGCTCGTGTTCTTTGTTTTTCCAGCTGTCAGTAAATCTGTCTGGCCTTTGGGCGCGTTAGCTAGCTTGTCTGGCTTCCAAGGAGGCGCCCATCAAAACAAGGTCTTGACCTCTCGACAGAAGGGCTGGCACAAGAATGAGCTTTGCCGAGTCTCAAGAAAGTACAACTGCATGACACTAATTGCCTTGAATTTCTGTCTCATTAGCACCACCGCCATGTAGCTCTCCTGTGGATGTGGCATTTATCATCGATTCTTCGGGCAGCATTGGCAAAAGAAACTACCTGAAACAGAAGAACTTTGTCAAGGAAGTAGCGAAGAGTTTCGGCCTAGCACCAGACCAGAGTCAAGCAGCCATGGTTCTGTACAGTAACTCAGCTTCAGTACAGGCTCGATTCGGCCAGTATGCGACCACGGAGGAGTTCGCCAAAGCTGTGGATGCTCTACCTTACGAGAGAGGCCAGACACGAATCGACAGAGCGCTGGATTTAGCAGCCACTGACATCTTCCCACAAGCCAGAGCGGGCGTGCCTAAGCTTGCCCTGCTGATAACTGACGGTACCCAGACCCCAGCAGCCGACGCCAAAGGCTTGAGAGAGGCCTCCGAGCCCTTGCGCAAGGCAGGCGTTCGTGTTCTAGCCGTGGGTATTGGCAGTGGTGTCGACCGAGATGAACTAAGATTGGTAACGGAGACTGACGACGACGTTGTGGTGGCCACTGACTTTCAAGACCTGCTGCTGAAAATGGCCAACCTGACCAGCAGGGCCTGCGAACTGGCTGGTGAGTGTGGTCAAAGTTAGAGGTCGCTTTGTGGCCTGACTTTGGCTTTTGCAAAACAGCTCTAGCTAGATAGGAATACTGAGATTTCCTGCTTGCATGCTAGCCCGCCCAGTTAATGTCCGCCCCAAACTAGTGTCCAGCCATTCAAAAGGCGCCTGTCGTCGCCTTCTGCGACTTGACTGAGTGCGAGAGAAGCGCTCATGCCATGATTTAAGGCCGCAGCTCGTGTTCTTTGTTTTTCCAGCTGTCAGTAAATCTGTCTGGCCTTTGGGCGCGTTAGCTAGCTTGTCTGGCTTCCAAGGAGGCGCCCATCAAAACAAGGTCTTGACCTCTCGACAGAAGGGCTGGCACAAGAATGAGCTTTGCCGAGTCTCAAGAAAGTACAACTGCATGACACTAATTGCCTTGAATTTCTGTCTCATTAGCACCACCGCCATGTAGCTCTCCTGTGGATGTGGCATTTATCATCGATTCTTCGGGCAGCATTGGCAAAAGAAACTACCTGAAACAGAAGAACTTTGTCAAGGAAGTAGCGAAGAGTTTCGGCCTAGCACCAGACCAGAGTCAAGCAGCCATGGTTCTGTACAGTAACTCAGCTTCAGTACAGGCTCGATTCGGCCAGTATGCGACCACGGAGGAGTTCGCCAAAGCTGTGGATGCTCTACCTTACGAGAGAGGCCAGACACGAATCGACAGAGCGCTGGATTTAGCAGCCACTGACATCTTCCCACAAGCCAGAGCGGGCGTGCCTAAGCTTGCCCTGCTGATAACTGACGGTACCCAGACCCCAGCAGCCGACGCCAAAGGCTTGAGAGAGGCCTCCGAGCCCTTGCGCAAGGCAGGCGTTCGTGTTCTAGCCGTGGGTATTGGCAGTGGTGTCGACCGAGATGAACTAAGATTGGTAACGGAGACTGACGACGACGTTGTGGTGGCCACTGACTTTCAAGACCTGCTGCTGAAAATGGCCAACCTGACCAGCAGGGCCTGCGAACTGGCTGGTGAGTGTGGTCAAAGTTAGAGGTCGCTTTGTGGCCTGACTTTGGCTTTTGCAAAACAGCTCTAGCTAGATAGGAATACTGAGATTTCCTGCTTGCATGCTAGCCCGCCCAGTTAATGTCCGCCCCAAACTAGTGTCCAGCCATTCAAAAGGCGCCTGTCGTCGCCTTCTGCGACTTGACTGAGTGCGAGAGAAGCGCTCATGCCATGATTTAAGGCCGCAGCTCGTGTTCTTTGTTTTTCCAGCTGTCAGTAAATCTGTCTGGCCTTTGGGCGCGTTAGCTAGCTTGTCTGGCTTCCAAGGAGGCGCCCATCAAAACAAGGTCTTGACCTCTCGACAGAAGGGCTGGCACAAGAATGAGCTTTGCCGAGTCTCAAGAAAGTACAACTGCATGACACTAATTGCCTTGAATTTCTGTCTCATTAGCACCACCGCCATGTAGCTCTCCTGTGGATGTGGCATTTATCATCGATTCTTCGGGCAGCATTGGCAAAAGAAACTACCTGAAACAGAAGAACTTTGTCAAGGAAGTAGCGAAGAGTTTCGGCCTAGCACCAGACCAGAGTCAAGCAGCCATGGTTCTGTACAGTAACTCAGCTTCAGTACAGGCTCGATTCGGCCAGTATGCGACCACGGAGGAGTTCGCCAAAGCTGTGGATGCTCTACCTTACGAGAGAGGCCAGACACGAATCGACAGAGCGCTGGATTTAGCAGCCACTGACATCTTCCCACAAGCCAGAGCGGGCGTGCCTAAGCTTGCCCTGCTGATAACTGACGGTACCCAGACCCCAGCAGCCGACGCCAAAGGCTTGAGAGAGGCCTCCGAGCCCTTGCGCAAGGCAGGCGTTCGTGTTCTAGCCGTGGGTATTGGCAGTGGTGTCGACCGAGATGAACTAAGATTGGTAACGGAGACTGACGACGACGTTGTGGTGGCCACTGACTTTCAAGACCTGCTGCTGAAAATGGCCAACCTGACCAGCAGGGCCTGCGAACTGGCTGGTGAGTGTGGTCAAAGTTAGAGGTCGCTTTGTGGCCTGACTTTGGCTTTTGCAAAACAGCTCTAGCTAGATAGGAATACTGAGATTTCCTGCTTGCATGCTAGCCCGCCCAGTTAATGTCCGCCCCAAACTAGTGTCCAGCCATTCAAAAGGCGCCTGTCGTCGCCTTCTGCGACTTGACTGAGTGCGAGAGAAGCGCTCATGCCATGATTTAAGGCCGCAGCTCGTGTTCTTTGTTTTTCCAGCTGTCAGTAAATCTGTCTGGCCTTTGGGCGCGTTAGCTAGCTTGTCTGGCTTCCAAGGAGGCGCCCATCAAAACAAGGTCTTGACCTCTCGACAGAAGGGCTGGCACAAGAATGAGCTTTGCCGAGTCTCAAGAAAGTACAACTGCATGACACTAATTGCCTTGAATTTCTGTCTCATTAGCACCACCGCCATGTAGCTCTCCTGTGGATGTGGCATTTATCATCGATTCTTCGGGCAGCATTGGCAAAAGAAACTACCTGAAACAGAAGAACTTTGTCAAGGAAGTAGCGAAGAGTTTCGGCCTAGCACCAGACCAGAGTCAAGCAGCCATGGTTCTGTACAGTAACTCAGCTTCAGTACAGGCTCGATTCGGCCAGTATGCGACCACGGAGGAGTTCGCCAAAGCTGTGGATGCTCTACCTTACGAGAGAGGCCAGACACGAATCGACAGAGCGCTGGATTTAGCAGCCACTGACATCTTCCCACAAGCCAGAGCGGGCGTGCCTAAGCTTGCCCTGCTGATAACTGACGGTACCCAGACCCCAGCAGCCGACGCCAAAGGCTTGAGAGAGGCCTCCGAGCCCTTGCGCAAGGCAGGCGTTCGTGTTCTAGCCGTGGGTATTGGCAGTGGTGTCGACCGAGATGAACTAAGATTGGTAACGGAGACTGACGACGACGTTGTGGTGGCCACTGACTTTCAAGACCTGCTGCTGAAAATGGCCAACCTGACCAGCAGGGCCTGCGAACTGGCTGGTGAGTGTGGTCAAAGTTAGAGGTCGCTTTGTGGCCTGACTTTGGCTTTTGCAAAACAGCTCTAGCTAGATAGGAATACTGAGATTTCCTGCTTGCATGCTAGCCCGCCCAGTTAATGTCCGCCCCAAACTAGTGTCCAGCCATTCAAAAGGCGCCTGTCGTCGCCTTCTGCGACTTGACTGAGTGCGAGAGAAGCGCTCATGCCATGATTTAAGGCCGCAGCTCGTGTTCTTTGTTTTTCCAGCTGTCAGTAAATCTGTCTGGCCTTTGGGCGCGTTAGCTAGCTTGTCTGGCTTCCAAGGAGGCGCCCATCAAAACAAGGTCTTGACCTCTCGACAGAAGGGCTGGCACAAGAATGAGCTTTGCCGAGTCTCAAGAAAGTACAACTGCATGACACTAATTGCCTTGAATTTCTGTCTCATTAGCACCACCGCCATGTAGCTCTCCTGTGGATGTGGCATTTATCATCGATTCTTCGGGCAGCATTGGCAAAAGAAACTACCTGAAACAGAAGAACTTTGTCAAGGAAGTAGCGAAGAGTTTCGGCCTAGCACCAGACCAGAGTCAAGCAGCCATGGTTCTGTACAGTAACTCAGCTTCAGTACAGGCTCGATTCGGCCAGTATGCGACCACGGAGGAGTTCGCCAAAGCTGTGGATGCTCTACCTTACGAGAGAGGCCAGACACGAATCGACAGAGCGCTGGATTTAGCAGCCACTGACATCTTCCCACAAGCCAGAGCGGGCGTGCCTAAGCTTGCCCTGCTGATAACTGACGGTACCCAGACCCCAGCAGCCGACGCCAAAGGCTTGAGAGAGGCCTCCGAGCCCTTGCGCAAGGCAGGCGTTCGTGTTCTAGCCGTGGGTATTGGCAGTGGTGTCGACCGAGATGAACTAAGATTGGTAACGGAGACTGACGACGACGTTGTGGTGGCCACTGACTTTCAAGACCTGCTGCTGAAAATGGCCAACCTGACCAGCAGGGCCTGCGAACTGGCTGGTGAGTGTGGTCAAAGTTAGAGGTCGCTTTGTGGCCTGACTTTGGCTTTTGCAAAACAGCTCTAGCTAGATAGGAATACTGAGATTTCCTGCTTGCATGCTAGCCCGCCCAGTTAATGTCCGCCCCAAACTAGTGTCCAGCCATTCAAAAGGCGCCTGTCGTCGCCTTCTGCGACTTGACTGAGTGCGAGAGAAGCGCTCATGCCATGATTTAAGGCCGCAGCTCGTGTTCTTTGTTTTTCCAGCTGTCAGTAAATCTGTCTGGCCTTTGGGCGCGTTAGCTAGCTTGTCTGGCTTCCAAGGAGGCGCCCATCAAAACAAGGTCTTGACCTCTCGACAGAAGGGCTGGCACAAGAATGAGCTTTGCCGAGTCTCAAGAAAGTACAACTGCATGACACTAATTGCCTTGAATTTCTGTCTCATTAGCACCACCGCCATGTAGCTCTCCTGTGGATGTGGCATTTATCATCGATTCTTCGGGCAGCATTGGCAAAAGAAACTACCTGAAACAGAAGAACTTTGTCAAGGAAGTAGCGAAGAGTTTCGGCCTAGCACCAGACCAGAGTCAAGCAGCCATGGTTCTGTACAGTAACTCAGCTTCAGTACAGGCTCGATTCGGCCAGTATGCGACCACGGAGGAGTTCGCCAAAGCTGTGGATGCTCTACCTTACGAGAGAGGCCAGACACGAATCGACAGAGCGCTGGATTTAGCAGCCACTGACATCTTCCCACAAGCCAGAGCGGGCGTGCCTAAGCTTGCCCTGCTGATAACTGACGGTACCCAGACCCCAGCAGCCGACGCCAAAGGCTTGAGAGAGGCCTCCGAGCCCTTGCGCAAGGCAGGCGTTCGTGTTCTAGCCGTGGGTATTGGCAGNGAAGCCAGACAAGCTAGCTAACGCGCCCAAAGGCCAGACAGATTTACTGACAGCTGGAAAAACAAAGAACACGAGCTGCGGCCTTAAATCATGGCATGAGCGCTTCTCTCGCACTCAGTCAAGTCGCAGAAGGCGACGACAGGCGCCTTTTGAATGGCTGGACACTAGTTTGGGGCGGACATTAACTGGGCGGGCTAGCATGCAAGCAGGAAATCTCAGTATTCCTATCTAGCTAGAGCTGTTTTGCAAAAGTCAAAGTCAGGCCACAAAGCGACCTCTAACTTTGACCACACTCACCAGCCAGTTCGCAGGCCCTGCTGGTC